GCGAGCTCACACAAAGAATAAATTACAAACACGAATATTTACGTTCATTTCAACAAATGTTATGGATACCAATTAGTTAATACAACATTATTTCAACTTCCACATTGAACTCAACATTAAATCATATGCAACGGAACGCGTGCAATTATGCATGGTGACATGAAAATTGTTTGCAGGCTTGTGCAATGCAAGGCTTCTCAGTTCAGAAATGTATTACGCTTTTCCCGATAATATTTGATTTTAATTACGGATTTGCTACACATTCTGGTAGACTGAGGTAATTATTACGTTGCTTACACATGTTCAGAGTATGCTAGACTTCTCCAACGAGTAGAGTTTCCCTTTTTTACCCAAATTACCGAACGAAATGAAGTGAACTGAAAGAGACGGGAAATTCTCTTATACCGCCTCTACTCTCAAAATCTCTGAGGGCGCTTGTGATTAAATCGAGAAATCACACGATTATCGGGATTCCCAGAACATGCATGCAGCTTAAGTGAAGTAAGAAAGGGCGGGATTAACAAGTAAATATTTTTCTCTAGCCTGAAACTCTAGTCCTATAATTATAAGCAGACATCAATATGGGCTCAAACCGACTCGATTTGCCGATCGAATGAGTAACTTCACAACTTTGACCTATTAGATCTATTAGACGATTTACAACACCCCGCGGATCCTTGAATGAAGAAGATACTAACGCTAAATTCATATATAAAAAGAATTTATACACAAAGCCCTATTCTTACGCCGAGAGAACGTTCCACCATTAAGCAGTGGCGGCTTAAATCCCTATGGAGTTAAGAAACAACCAAAATAGGAGACATTTTTCCTGGCTCGTGACCGGATGAAAGGGAAGGTGAAGTCGGGACGGAAAGATCTGAATCGAGAACTGAAAACCCAAACAAAAATCAGGCCAAAAAGTGATACTGATAAGATAAAAAAGAAGAATTATGCTTCGTGATAAATATAAAAAAAGATTTCCAATATAACAACCGTTGCTTCACGATCTGAAGCAATCCGAACACATCCAGTGTCCTTACTTCTAATAATAATGATAATTAATAATAATAATAATAATAATAATAATAATAATAATAATAATAATAATAATAATAATAATCATAAAACATGAAGCCAAAAACGATGTATTACCAATACAGTTGATAAAGAAAGGCGGAGAAAAACATGATAACATATTCCCACAAACTGTATATTACTGAGGATCAACTTCCATATATCATTTCCCAAAAGGCGAGATATTCTAGAATGTAGAAACAATCGAGCAAGTGTATTAATATCTCATTGCAACTCAATTCTCTTAATTTTAAACGTAGAATGACTATAAATATGACAGAAATAGCAGAAAAGTAGTGTGGACTACTGATCCAATCCTAAATTTGAAAATGATCAACAAAAAAGAAAACAAAAGTAAAATACCTTCTTAAACTCTACTGACAATAAAAAAATCTGGCACAGCAGACAAGATGACACACTCTAGAAAAAAAAAACTCTTGTATAGGTTTTCCAGACCACATACTACAGATAATAATAATATGAAGAGCCTCTATGACCAATAGAAAGCTGCCGTGAAAATATCCCAAGAAACTAGAGGATTCTCTAAAACTAGCATAGGCGTGAGACAAGGATGCATTCTATCCCTACATATTGTTTCACATAAAGAATAAATAGATAAGAATAGATAATGAGAACGGCATTTAACAACTTTGAATAACCTATCAAAGTAGGACGTAGATATACAAATGACACTGACCTCACAGACGGATCCGTGAATGAACTGACAAAATTGACCTACGGAGTTCAGACTGGTAGTGAGAAATCAGGACACCAGCTAAGTTCTGAAGATAATGGCTGTTACAAAGAAAAAAGATACTGTTAATGAATATCTAGGAGCCATTCTCTGAGATACGGACACACAAGAAATCAGAAAAAATGGCAGTATTCTCATTGGTAAACACCTGGAAAATTAAATTCGATCAAGACTAAAATTCTAATTCTACAATGTGTTGTCTTCCTTACAGCAACCAAAATACTCCATATGTTGCACAGAGAGAGGAGAGAGAGAGAGAGAGAGAGAGAGAGAGAGAGAGAGAGAGAGAGAGAGAGAGAGAGAGAGAGAGAGACGAGAGAGAGAGAGAGAGAGAGAGAGAGAGAGAGAGAGAGGAGAGAGAGAGAGAGAGAGAGAGAGAGAGAGAGAGAGAGAGAGAGAGAGAGAGAGAGAGAGAGAGAGGAGAGAGAGAGAGAGAGAGAGAGAGAGAGAGAGAAGAGAGAGAGAGAGAGAGAGAGAGAGAGAGAGAGAGAGAGAGAGAGAGAAAAAGAGAAAGAGAGAGAAAAAAGAGAGAAAGAGAGAGAGAAGAGAGAGAGAGAGAGAGAAGAGAGAGAGAGAGAGAGAGAGAGAGAGAGAGAGAGAGAGAGAGAGAGAGAGAGAGAGAGAGAGAGAGAGAGAGAGAGAGAGAGAGAGAGAGAGAGAGAGAGAGAGAGC